TTAGTATTTTTATTATATTCAATTGAATTTTTATATTTTTATTTTAAATTAAATAAATTATTATTATTAACTATTAATTGACAGTACTTATCATTTTATGTCATATGGTGTTAATGTAATATATATACTGATGTTATAATGAATAATGACATAATCAAGTAATATTTTTACTTTTCATGTGAACTTCACATTAACCATACGTGATATAAAAAATGATAAGTGATATTTTGAGATATATATTTATTTTATTCACATGATATTAACAAGAATGTCCTAGCACTTGCTAATAAGATTTTTTGCACCATGCACACCACCCATTTAGGTAAAGTATTAGCCCAGGATGCTCTTCACTTTTTGTCCATGTTTATGTGTAGATTTAAGGTTCCAAGTTCATATGGTAAGGCATCTCTTGAAATGGAAAAGAGAGAAAGGCATATTACATTGCATTGACAAAGCTAATATTTATTCAACTTCAGAAAACAAACAAAAAACAACCTACAAATCCTAAAATGAAAAAGGAAAGAGAACAAGAGCCCTCCCCCCTTACTAAATATAGAAGATTACATAGATAAGAAAAAGAAAAGTAAAAGTGAAACCACCTATTGCATCCATTCCCTTGTGATGGTCCTTGCTTCACAAATAGCTTTCGCTTTATTTGTTTTCTTTTTTTAACAAAATTGAATAAAAAAACCTCTCTTACTACTGAGAATGCCAATGGATATCTTATAATCTAATACCTTATATTGTCGGATCTGATTAAAGAAAATTAGAATACTCTATAATTGAATTTGAATAATAAAATTATTATTCATCACGAGTTTAAGTAGGGTTCGAGTAGTACTTTTATGGTAGCATTACCTAAACTTGATTATAAATAGTAATTTTTAATATTAAATTTTAGTTTGTGTTATATTATTTTTATTTATAAATTTCTTGTAACTAGTGTAATACTTATTCAAATTCATTAATTATTATAAATATGATTTTAAGTTTTAATCTATTAATTTAATTTTTATTAATAATATATATACAAATTGATTTTAAAGGAATGCCTTACTCGTTGAAAGTCGATTATGTGGCCCAATAAGAGATTGACAAAATCTCGCCTCCATATGCCTTCTCTCGTTTGCATTCTGTTTACACGCGCCTGCACGCCCCAATAACGTGCAAGTAAAAGAGAATCCAATTTTTTTTTTCCTAAGAAAGCAAACAAAAGGTAGTGGGGAAGTGATTTGGGTTTAGTGGGCATCACGTGCCACTAATGTCGTGTGGTCGACACGAGTCACCGCCTTTCGAAAGACTGGGACCCGCCAACTACACATGGAAAGGACCAGCACTATAATTGTTTCCCGTGACAGCCCAATCAGGAAAGCCGGAAACAGTAAAAAAAGTCACCGACGGCTTTAGGGAGGCAAAGGCAATAGCTAGGTTTGACCAATGGGTTCCAAGCAAAATGGATAGTACCATGTCACAGTCCATAAAGCAGTGCTGCTAACATAGCAAAAGCCCGGAGGAAAGCTTAAGCGGTGACGTGTCCCTATTCCCGGAAAGGCCTCCCTTCCAATGTTCTTTTTAGGCCTTGAAGGCGGATATGCTTTTCCCTTTTCTTTTTTTTTTTAAAAAAGGTGTTTCTATAATTAAATTATGTAGATTATTTTTATTATTTTATATTAAAATTTTAATCAAAAATATTTTTTTCAAAATATTTCATTATATATTAATCACATGAATTATTATTTTATACATTGATAACGAGGTTTTAAAATTTTACATTTATTTAATTTTTTAAATTATTTCCTAATAAACATTGACTAACCTTATAAAATGATCAGTTTCTAGTAAATTGTCTCAATTTTGAAATCTCATCTCCATCATATTTTTTATTATTAAAAGAAGACATAACACCTTAAAAAACCTTTAAATTATTGAAAAAATTTTAAAAAAGTGCTTATTGTTATTTTATTCTATTCAATTAAATTATTATACTTTTATTTTGAATTAATTTTTATAATTAATAGTTTATTAATTATCATTAATAAAATATTATTTATCATTTTATATCATTTGATAATGACGTGGCTTGTTGACATTTTATAATAAATGATAAAGTAGTATGTTGATATAACCTGATAACATAATTATAAAATAATTTTCACCATCCACATTAACGGCACGTAAACATAAAATAACAAGTAAGATTTTGACTAATAGTAATTAATTAATCGTTCGTTGTAAAAATCTAATCAACTCAAAATAAAAATATGGAATTAATTAAATAAACTATTTAATTTTTTTAAATAATTCATAAACTTATTCAAACATTAAATCTTTATATCTTTTAGTAGAAAACAGTAATACAATGCATGCATGGCATGTTGCAACATGTTATAGGTTATGCATATGAATTGGAGCTAAAAGACTCCAATGTTTATGAATACAAGAATTTAAGAAAAACAGTAATGATTAAAAAGGTAGTGAAATTTAGGTGAGCACAGCTGAGTTTACACTTCACATGGCCTGTTATGAATATTAATCAAAGCAACTCAATTCTTATCTAGCTAGCTACTTCAATCCAATTCAAGCAATTTCCATAGTTTGAGTATTTTATTTATTTTTAATACTATAAATCACTATTAAAATTTTGATCTTTTATTGACATATACTCGAAATTTCATTGATAATGTAATCGGGAAAGCGATTGTCGATAATGCCATAACGGAACATTTTGTGGATAAAAACATTTATGTTTGTAGTGAGTCCATAAAAAAGTAACAAAATTTTGGAAAACTCAAGATTTGAGAATAAAATTAAATAATATTAATTTTCTTATAATTCCATGACCAAAAAAAATGAAAAATAGTGCAAGTATTATAAATTTAGGAGATCTTGAAAGAAAGACTTTAAGCAATTCGAGTCTAATTTAAAAGTATTTAATGGTATATTATTATTCTCTTAAAAAGATTGAGAATTTCCAATTCCAAATCCAAATCTTAACTTTTCTCGTATATTTTTTTACGATGTCATATATATATATATATAGAAAGAAATTATAAAATATATACATAATTATTGAAAGAAGAGAAATTGAAATGGAATTGCTAATTAAATGTCCCTACAAGTACAAGCACAAAGGCGCACCTTCAAGAAACCCTCCTCTTTGTGCGACGTTATAAGAGAAAAAACATGCAATCGGTTGCCACCTCATGTACTCCACTTAGCTATTGGATGGAGGAGAGACGTTTGGATTTGTTCTTGCTCTTTTCCTCCAACATGTTTTCCTACTGTCTTTTTATATGTTCCATAAAATAAACTCCCTTTGCATTCAAAGTCAAATTAGCCTACTTATGATATAATAAAATAATACCGAATAATATCTACTTTATTGTTATTTTATGATAAAAATAGGCATACAACTTTTTAAAAAGTCTTGAATCATTAAAAAAATTAAAATAAATTATTATTTTTTATTATATTTTATCAAAATTTTATATATTTTTTAAATTAAATAATTTTTTATAATTAATGATTGATAAATTATCATTAAATGAAACGTCACTTATCATTTTTTATGTTGACATTGAATTGTGATGAAAAGTGATCATATCACGTGATCATATCACGTGATCATATCAATATGTTATGTCATTATCTTACGTTAGTATATAATATCACTATTTAATATAACATGCTCTAACTTATAATTGAAACGTAATACAAAATTAAATATTTATTTTGATATTTATGATTTTAAATATTAAACAATCTAAAAATAAAAGCTAACTTTTACAATCTTATTTTATTTCACTCTTGAAATTTTAATTTAAAAGTCTCAAACTCTAGAGAGTTGTCTTCTTAAGAAAAGGTCAAAACATTGATTCATGTACATTAAAACCTTGATGATTAATTCCACTAATCTGATGCCTCAATAATTAATCACTTGACCTAATATTAACCACTGTTGTTAACACTTTGAACCCTTTCAAAGGCCAGTCAAAAAGATTTTCAAACTTTGAAAAAATACATGGTATCACATTAATTTGTGATAATACCATAATTAAGCTCACATAAGTCCGCTAGCAAACCATTCATTTCAAAAGACTTTTAAAACTTTGAAAGTTCACATCTATTACGTTCATATATAGAAACCATAGATTCTTTAAAAAAAACATAATATTTAAAAAAAATCTTTAATTATTGAAAAATATTTAATTAAGTTCTTATTATCTTATTATGTTTAATTAAATCTTTATATTTTTATTTTATATCAAATGAATCTTTATAATTAATAGTTTATCAATTTATTATTATTAATCCAAAAACTATTTATAATTTTTTATTACATAATTTTGACGTGATATATTTAGATATAACATTGATGATAAGATTTTATGAAATTTTTACTTTTTATATCAATATCACAATTAATATACTAAGTGAATATAAAACGATAAATGATATTTTAATTCATAGTAATTAATTGATTATTAATTATAAAAAATTTATTTAATTAAAAATAAAAAATAAAATTAATTAAATATAATATAATAATTTTTGAAAATAAACCCAAAAAAAGTAATGTTTTTAAAAAATATAGTAATACATATATTATACAAACAAACATTTTGTGGGTATGTAATAATTGCTATTCCCTGACCCTGTGTCCACTCACTCTCTCAAAGTTTCAATTAACTTTTCTGTCTATATGCAGCAATTCCCTTCTCATTCCAATGGATTGGATGATGTATCCTCTCTCTTAGCTGTAAGAGAGACAGAGAGAGAGAGAGGGGATTGAAAAAGATATTTGGGGGGGAGGGGAGCGGCGCTTAATAGCGCACTTCCAATGAACCATCCTTCAGAAGCTGCCAAGTGGCACATCCTTCTGCCACGTAGCACTTTTTGCTGTGGGCAATTCCCTTTGACGTGGCAGCCACTGGCTTTACCTTTTTCCCTACATAAATACCTCCCATTGCTATATATTTCCCTCTCTCTCTCCCAAATCCTCCCTCGTATCCGCTCTTCCTTCTCGTTTCTTCCCTGCTCCCTCGCTTTAATTTCCTTCCCCCCAAACAGCAGCAGAAAGAACCCAAGGTGCCAAAGAGGCAAAAGAAATAATGCCGGGTTTTGGTGGTGTAGAAGCTCCCATTGGGAACACCCTCGACGGCCTAGATCATTCCAAAGACACTTCTCGAGATTTGCGTGACTTCCCATCTTTAATGTCTTCCTGTTATCCTATCACTCTCAAGGTAACACAAACTTCAGTGAGTTCAGTGTGTTGAACTACCCGAGTCAGCCGAACATTGGCTCGTTTTCATCTTTCATGGTTCCATTTTGACCTTTAACATTGACCTTTCTATATATTTAATTTATTTTTGTGTTCATGCAGTTCATTGACGTGTGTTTCAAGGTGAAGATACAGCAGGAGACCAACAGTTCTCGAGGTCGACGCATTAAACGAATGTTTAGCCATGGAGGATCATCAGCAGCGCCGTCTGATCAAAGATC